GATTGGCCCAACAACAAAGATTTCAGCAATGGCCTTAAGCATTTGACGAATCAATACACAGATAACGTCGTCACCAATCTTGAAACGCATGCTAACAAACACATCACCCAGTACTTGAAACTGAAGGTTTTCCAATGGAACTCAGACGTAGGAGATGATGCAGAGAAATTTTTGCCAAGTGACATCGCAAGTGTTGTGAATCTGATCATCAAACAAAAAGACATCAAAGTGCCAATTCGCGATCCAAACAAACTCGAACGGTGTAGCGTGTTGTATGACATGGTGAACGACCTGAATGTGTTCCCAGAAATCGATCTGCATGACCTTACAACTGACCCAAAACATTGGTTTAAGGCCATGCCAATGTACCTATCTATGCAGCGCGAGATAGAAGAGTACAATTCGGAGTGGCCACATCAGCGCCGACCCAAACGCAAGAAAAGAAAGCGAAAAAAGACAAAAGGAAAATGGAAACGCAAGCGCAGCCAAATGCTCGACAACCCAGATTTTCGGCCATTGATTCGAAATTTTGTAGTGGTGCCGATGTGTGATTTCCGGCGTACGCACTTCAGAATCGATTGTACATCCATGCACCAGGTGTTGTCTTCGCAAAAATTGCTACCGAAAGTGGAAATCGAGAATAAAAAAGGAACAACAAGCACGAAAACGATTCAACAAAAGGATTTCAATCATTCGAGAGATTATTGGTGGAATCAGTATTTTTACATGCGAAAAATTCGACGATTCGTGCGTGCCAAAAAGCAGTTTGACTATTCCATAAACACCGATGGAATCTCTGTGTCTCTCCAGTTGGCCAAAAAGAAGACAGACAACAAAGAAATCGACCAAAAATCTCGCATCATTCAGAAGATTGAGGATGGCACAATCAAAAATTATTCGGGCGTTGATTCAGGTGTGCAAAGTTGGAATACCACAACAACACACGACATTGAAACTGGCAAAGAAGTAAGTTTTGTATACATTCGAATAAGTTGTGTGTATTTTAATAGAAAATGCTCAAGTGCCAAAACTCAATAACTATACCTTTTTTCTATTTATTTTTTCAGACCAACTTTGTAATGTCGAGCAAGCAATTCCACTGGCAAACAGGTCAAAAGGTGCGAAATGCCAAAGCAAAGCGATGGACCAAAAATTTCGTCGAAATGGAGCGCGCAGACAGAGAAAATCGTGATCTGTATCCAGTGATGCCGTCGCCAAAAGGGTCAATGTGGCTGAACTACATCAAACATCGAGTCAAGATGATGAAGCATGGAATCTGCGCTTACTCGACTGCCAAATACACTCGACTCGCCTTGGACAAACACATCAAGAGCAGTAGTGTTGTCGACGAATGGGCGAATAAGGTGACCGATAAGAAACCGACTCTGTTCTTTTTTGGTGCTGATGGCGAAATACCACCTGATAGCCCAATAAGTATCAAGAAGCACGTGCGGTGCCCAGGGGTGCGTAAGACTTTGAGGTCAATAAAGAAGCGCCGAGATTGTTTCATACAATTGGTGGACGAATGGGGAACATCTCAAACCGACGCAAGATGTATGAATCGATTCCAAAACCAGAACAAAGCGGCCAGATTCAAGAAATGCCGATGCGTACCCGACGCCAGAACATTGCTGCCAACGAAAATTGTGTCAAAGTTGGGCAAAACGGATCTATCGATCTACCGACAGTTGCAACGCGCCATGAACGAAGAAGCATTGGTAGGAGACGAGCGTTTATTCCCAAAAGTAAAATGTTACTACAAAAACTGGCGATTAAACCTCGAATGCTCTGTGATTTGGCATCGTGACGTCGTGGCTGCTAAGAACATTCTACTGAAAGGTAAGGCTAATTGACGCACAATTTCGATTGAATGATTTTTTAAGAAGTTTCATTTGTTTAATTGTTCAGGACTATGGACATTACTGGGACTTCCGATACCAGAGGCGATCAATAGGTATTGGCGCGAAGCTGCTGAAGCAGCCGCTGCTGTTGCCGCTGCTGCTGCCGCTAGAGCAACCGCTGAAGCAGCCGCTGCTGCTGCCGCCATCGTGGATAATGATGTAGAAATGTTCGAGTACGACCAGCAGCCAGCTGATCATGCTGTCTAATCAGCACATTGCAAACAAAAAAAAAACAAATGTAACATTAGTTATTAAAGGCTATCCCGATCATGTGGGATAGTTGCGTTGAAGCAAGTTGACTCCCCATCTGGTTGATGTTAACTGCGCAGGAGTACTCTAGTGGGTCGTTTAGGTAAGCATTATTCGATTTTGCAAAGAGTTTTTTTTTCTTCTGGAAGTGTTGTATAACGCTCTATTAATGCTACCAGTTGACATAAAATTGGCTTCTCTTTAAATTTATGCTATTCATTCTTCTTTTTCAGATTAGCTGAACACCCTAATGTACAATTTACATTTATCAAAATACGACTTTTTTCATGTTATACACAAACCAAATTTACCTTGGGATAAGTGCGACCACTTCGTCGTTCTTCAGCCAGGAATTCATGCATGAAAACTGAAAAAGCGCTTGGTTTTACTTTTTTCTTTCCCATTTTACAATTTTTTTTGTACAAAACATAAATTCAAAGAAAATAGCAACGCTTATTTAGACAATACAAAAACTTTTCCTAATGATTACAAGCAACTTTAGTCGAACGATCAAAAAAAAATTATGACAGTTCGCAGGCAATAGGAACCGAAAATGTCTACAAAGAAGAAAGAAACGTCATATTGTTGTAGAGATTTTGATACAATACCATTCAAATATAAACAGCATGGAATAGAACACAGCTTACAATATTCTCATTCCATTGGGATATGGATATGGGCTATTGGAATAGTTGTCAACAAACGCTTTAACAAACGCTTCATCATTTCATTCTAAAGTCTTTAAAAAAATCATTTTTCAAACATATTAGAAAATTGTATATATTCATTCGAAAGAGGGAACAAAAAAGTGATAGCTGCGCTCGCTAAATCATTCGTTGACAACTATTGGTAATGATTGATAATGAAAATAATTAATATATTACTAATATATTAGGGTTTTTTTCCGAGGCAAACATTTATTCTCGTACGCATTTTTGTATAAGATCTTGGTGGTGAAATAAATGAGATAAATTGAAATATTGATTAACGTTTTATATTATAAGTATATGAAAAATACACAAATTATAAAATAAATATGAAGGAATTCGTGAAATCGTGATGAAAATAAAATCCTTAGATTAAATTAAATCGATTACGTTTTGCATAGTATCATTTTTTCGATATACGAGGAGAAAATATTCAATTCTTATCTGTTGACAACTTACAAAGAAATTTTGTTTATCCTACTGATGTTTATTATAAGATTGAAATATATTATAAAAAATCATTTAACGAAAAACTATCAAAGAAAAAAATATTTAAGGCTATAGTTTGATTTGAATTCTTCAGTTGTAATCATTTGTTATTTTCAGTGCCTTCTCATGTTGAGCCGCTTTACTAGATTGTAAATCTTTAATGCTGGGCCTAGTTTTAGGTTCATATATTTCAACATCATATCAGATGTCAGTAAAAGGAGTGCCTTTCCATCAATTTCCTGAGAAAATAAGAACAAAATGAAATGAACAATTCACCATTGATTTCAGTGGTTACTTTTTTTACATGTTTGCGAAAAAGGTTAGCGTGAACGCCGAGAGCTGAGTCTGTTGCAGTGATATATTGTATTACTTCTTCGATAGTCCACTCGTTGGCGGGACCTTTCGGCATTGGATTTGTTAGTTTTAATGGCGGCTCCTTTGTGGGTGTTAAACTTGACTTGGAAATTGCTAAAAAGGTTTGTAATCGTAAAGTTGAGAAGAACAATCAAATTGTTTGCGATTTACCTGATGAAGTGGTGACACATTGCGTCTGTGTATTTTGAGACGTTATAATACTAACTGATTCATCATTGGAATTGGTCTTTCTAGGAATTTTCGAAAACCTTTCACTTATGCTCGAGTTTGAGTTTGAACTTGAAGATGATGTGGGTGAAGGTGATGATGATTCCATATCTGATTGGCGACGACGTTTATATACTTGTTTTATTCCAAATACTCCCTCCTTCGTCTGCAATGAGTCTGATTGTTTTTGCAATTCCTGTTTACATATGTTTTTGTCATAATCTTCGTGTCCTTGTGTCTCTTCCGTTTTTTCCTGTTTACAACAGCTATCACATATTTCAGGTCCTGTTTCAAGCGTAATTAGATTTGGACATGCTTCACAAGCTTTGCAAATAGTTCTTAAAAATTCAGCAAATTCGGCATCGCGTAAACGATTTGAGCTTGGAATTTTAACCATAAAGTTTTCACTTGCTGCTACCACGGTATTGACATCACCATCGAGTGCAAACAGACGCTGCGCTAGTTGGGCTGTGTTGGAGCAATTGCCCAAAATCTCTTGTAAAATAAGTTTTGCTAATATTTTATGATTTGGCGCAGTTAGCATTGTACGAGTTCGAAAACTATGGCGATTAAAGAATGGTCCGACTCGACACTTAGAATGGAAATATATTGTAACTGGTGTGGTTGTCGATAGTGTATCTAAGTCGGGAATGAATGTATTGCTCGGTTTCATACTTTTTCGTTTATTAGTATTTGGATCAACTCGGTTACGATGGCCGGGCGGTTGCACGGGATGTGTACACCAACCGACAGGAAAAATGTCACGGGAATCGTATCGTGTCCAATAATCAAATGCTCCACGCCATCCATCAAATGCTATGTGCACTTGATCATCTTTGATGGCATCAACCGTTGCACAGCAAATCAATTGTGGATTTTTCTTATCGACTGCTTCCAATTTCTGTCCAATCTGTAAATTTTGTCCAAACCCCATCCATTTTGACTCATTTTCTCTCTGTATAATTTTTTAATAGGGCACGTACCTTGAACATGTTTTTCTTTGGTGTTATAGGTTCTGGTTGAAAGATTTCATCTGGAGCGAGCACAGCATTTTTGAGCTGTTTGATCAAAAATGTTTGCCATCCATTCACATTTCTGTTGTATCCCAGTGGAGGCTGGAGTTGTCCACCGTTTTTCTCGCATGTGCCAATCGGATGAATTTCATTTGAATCAACAAGTCGCCAAAAGTCATTCTGATTATCGCCACCATCTAAACGAATACGCAAGCGAGAACCCATAACGCTAATTACGGTTCCAATGCAGGTGGAAGTAACACATCTTGGGTCGAGAGCCTCCAGTTTCATTCCGATTTCGAATTTGTTAACGGGTGGATCTACTGCTTGCTTGAAGCAATATGTGGGTGCAGCTTCACTATTTGTTTCCTATTGTTTTTGTGGATGGGAGTGTATGTGTGTGTGTTGAATTATCGACATTTTGGTTCTACTTTGAAGGAGCAGATAAAGTTAGACTTACGGCCAAATAGTCATCCCAATTGAATACATGAGAAGTTTCGTATTGAAAAGATCGCGCTAGCGTACACAGATTGTTGGTTGGGGACTTTTTTGAATTTCCATTCATATTGGTTGTGCTACTGACACCATCAATGTTTCCTACAAATACATTTTTAATCAAAGAATTACAATAATATTCACACGAGAATTTAAACTGGCCGTACCATGTTTCGAAATTATTTTATTCATACAATACAATGAACAGTATTCCTTGTTCGGAGCAACAGCCAATCTGACAATGCTTCCACATTGCTTGCAAGCCCCCTTTTTTACGGCTTTTCGAAATTCTGCTATGCACATTTCTGAACAAAATTGAAGATTATCGCCAGACAAAGTAGGCAAAACATACTTGAGGATAGGTTTATTATCACTACACCAAGCGCAAGGTAACATTTGAGTCGGTGATGCTGATTTTTTTGCGGGACGTGCCCGAAGTTTAATTGTTGGATTGTTGTTATTAATCGCTTCATTTTGTGTATTTGCTGATGTTTTTGTAGTTTTGTTCTCATTCTCATTATTAGTTTTCCGGTTCGACTCATTGTTTGACACTATTGAAGTACTCTCAACCAGAGGATTCCTACTTGTTGACTCAGAACTCATTTTGTTTTTTGAAGACTTTGAAGCCAACGTGGTATTATCATGGAATGTCAACGCGGGTACGGATTTGATTTCGGTGTTCTCCTTAGAAGGTAAAATTGAACTTTGTATACCTTTAGAATCATTCATTTTACTACTTGAACTTACTTCACAATCGTTCTTTAGGTCACCATTTTTAACAGGCGATTTGACTCGGACTTTACTTTTTGACAATGTTACTGATGACATATTTTCATTGTATATCGAAATTTTGTTTTTTGCTTTATATTATTTTTCCAATGTAATTTTCAAATTGAATTTTTCAACTTTGAAAACTGAATTAAAACTTTAAAAATTCCCGGGTTACTTTATTCACTCTCAATGTTCTATCAGCTACTTATTACTTTTACAGCAGATGTATATACATTTTCATTTCTGCGATGTAAATGAAACTGTTAAACACAGCTGTTTTTGGTTTTTTTTGTGCAAATAAACACAAAACTCACTGAGAAAGTCAAAATAAATATGTATTACTTCATATCATTTCGTTATGGTATTGCATCTGTCAAACGCATGAAAATGCATCGCAATAAACAACACTCGATATACAGATTATTATTACGACACTCTCCACCATTCTTTTATGCTGTGACATTAATTATCGTTACAAACATCGCTTTAATAAAGAAATTGAGTAGATCTCGATGCTGGTTAATTTCATATTAAATACACACCGGTTTCCAAATAAAGATTAGCACAATTATCAACATACTTTGGTTGAGTTCACTGTTCACTTAACGTGGTGTGTCAACGATTCAGAGCGTTGCCGCCATATTTTGCGTATCACAGAATTTCAAATGCAAACAGAATACCATATTTTTGTTTCTGTCTCGTTCTAACCGTCCACTCTGGACGTGTAGACTTTTTGCCAACTATGGTATGAATATTCGGAACGCTACCCAGCATCTGTCAAATTCAAACATTTGAAATGACATCCATTTCAACTACTACTCTGTGTCAACCGAATTGTAAACAAACATCTTACAAGAATTTCGATTTGTGTATGTGTTGCATTTTGGGCGCGTGAATTAGAAAGAAAGAGCAGAACCGACACTTTTCTTCCATTTCACTCAACGCAACACAACAGACTCATTCGTTAATGTGGTTTGGTGTTACATTTGTTAACTTTGGCTGCGTTATAAGAATGTATTGAGTTTCTATATCGGAACCGAATAAACATGAATTTCATCACGAAGTGAGTAGAGTTGTTGCGGTATGGTATTTATGTCCAAACCATATTCAGCTGTCAAACGGGTGCCGGTTGATTCATATTGATCTGAGCATTTGAAAAGGCAAGTTGATTGTTGTGAATATAGTTCGATTAATAGTGATTGTTTTTTTTTCGAACTGTGTAATTTATTCAATGTTTGGTGAAAATGGTACACAATTTCTTATTAATTTTTCTCATTTTTATTTCGTTTTGGTGTTTTGACGTGAATCTCATTCGTTCGTGTTGATCGTACACAAAGCGGCATTAGCATTCTAATGGGATTGTGAAATAGTCGTAAGGTATTGTGAAATAATTTCTGTTTCGCACAAAACGCAGAGTCGACACTTTTCTTTCATTTTATGCAACACAACAGAACACCATACAACGGACTCATATTTTTTCTGTTTTTTTCTTGCTCCTGAATTCTCTTACAGATGGGCAAAAAATCAAGGAAGAAGCCGAAGCCAATTGTGATGCTTGATCCAGACAAGATTAAGGACGACAAAGATGAAAAAGACAATCCGAACAATCAAAACGCAGTTACGTTCCATTCTTCAGCCGAAATACCGTGACTTGTTGATTGCAGCCATCACCGACAGATCAATAATGGCAACGAAAATGTGCGCACTTGCCTCGCAGTTGTTCCTGTTCCGTTGACCCACTGAACCAAGACTTGCAGTCATTTGTGCTTACAAACATATGCACAAATATCGCCCAATGAAACGCTTTTGTGCACGATTGTGAGGGCGCATTTGACGAGAATGACCAAACATTTTTTGAACAGAATGGCGAAATGGTGATTCGGTCATGTTTTTTGGTGTCCTGAAAAAAAATATTTACAAGAAGAAAATGTTGCCGGAATTTCGTGAAATGGTGCATCAGCTGGACGATAGCCATCGAGTGGTTTGGCCCAACTCGGACTATTCCGGCAACGGAATGACTGATATAATAGATCCATACGTAACGAACACAAAACGCCTGCGCGATTGGTTGCGGATAAAAGTGTTCGAATCTTCGTTGGTTGTTCGGTACGAGGAGGCCGACATCGACCGTGTGATTAGTTTGGCAATTTATGGCAATGACGATATTGAAATCAATGGCATGGATGAAGTTGCCAAACGTGAGGGGCGTACGTCGTTGATGGGACATACCATACAACAACATTGGCCGATTCACAAAGGAGCATTGCATTCTAGATTTCCCTCCAGCGGAAAATTGATGATTTCAACCAGAGCCCTCATTTTGTATATGCCAATATTTCGAGCTATTAGTAGTTGCTATTTATAGGCAATAGCTCTTGATATATTGAAATAGCAGCTACCGAGTTCGCAGTACAAAATTCCAGATTTGGGAAGTCAAATTGAGGATGATCCGAGCGGAATTCGACGAAAAATAAATCAATCCACCGAAGGGACGAATTCTTAAGCACTTCTACTTCCAGAACACATTGGATCAGGTCAGGTTCACCTCCTCCACAAGATTCACTTCCAGCTCCGCGAATATTTCATGAACGCTATTTTTTAATATAAGGGCAAAAATACTGACTGAAACGTCACGCACAAAATTGGTTATAGCCAATTTAGAGGGAATAGAACGTCACGTTTTTGTGGAAGTGATTTTTGAGGATGTTTTGTCTTTCGATGATATTTAGCCTCTGTACCGTAAAAATATATGAATATATATAAATATGAAAGACTATATTGAAGGCTAAGGTCCAAGGAATCGATTGGATAACTTGCATTTACACAAAAATGTATTCTGGACTGTTTTATGGCCAACGATAGTGACTGGCTATGTCACGCCAAAGTAACACTACTACTTGCATCAATAATTTTATGAATGGTCACTTGAAAACTACTTAAAATTCGTGACGTTCCAGTCACGCGAGGAATATCGTGAAGTTCGCCGATGCCAACGTGAAGAGTATCAAGAGATGAAACGATGCCGACGTCGAAATCACCGTCCGTGCACTTGCCAGCAGCCGACAGATCGAGGCCAATATGAGTACATCGAGAAATAGGATAACATCACAGAGGATGAGGTCAGAAAACAAAAGGAGTATTATTGGGGCCAATACTTCAATATGCTGAAAATCTATCATCTCGGTCAAGCAGAAAAGAGTTCCGTTTCCGAATTCCCTCAAATTCTCTCCTCTACAATTTAATGTTGACAAAACGAAAATGGGTAACATGGAATCGGACAAAAAGGCCATTGTTCAGAACTACAAAAAGTTTGTCAATGAAGTTGGTACTGATCCAGGTGTGAATTCGTGGAACGCAACAACAGTACATAACATCGAAACTGGCAAAGAGGTAAACAATATATGTGCATTGTTTATTTGATAATTCGAAGTTATGCCATTGTCATTTTCATTGTTATCCAAACGGTTTTCTTTGTTCTGTTTTGTTTCGTTTCTTAGGTGAACTACACGATCAGCAGCAAACAGTATCATTACCGGGCGAGTCTAAAGGTCCGAAATCGACAGGGAAAGCGGTGGACGAAGGACTTTGTCAGGGAAGAGAGGCGAGACCGTGAAAATCGTACGCTCTATCCGGTGATGCTATCGCATCCATACCCTACAAGAATTTTGCGACAACGTTTACGCAAACGTATCGCCAACCTTCCGCAATAGTTGTCACAAAATGCATGAACTGCGATCAACTTCATTCGAATTCAGCATGTTGTATTTTTAAAGGCGGCAATGGCTGATTATTCTACTTAATAATTATTTTGAATAAGTTTTTATTTCTTATTAGCAACGATGAGCAACATGAAAAGTTTAAATAAAACCATTTGAAATTATGTTTTCAATGTAATGAAGTTGGATACAATTCGAATTTACAGGTAAAGGTGTCAAACGGACGGACTGTCCGTCTTTTTAGCCCGTCCGTCCGTCCGTCCAGGGCTCTTGAAATTTTTTTTGTCCGTCCGTCCGTCCGTTCAGAGCCGCTAGAAATTTTCTTGTCCGTCCGTCCGTCCTATCAACGCTGAACGGACGGACGGACGGACAAGAAAATTCACGAGGATCCTGAACGGACGGACAACAAAATTTCTTTCGGACGGACGGACGGACAAAAAATTTAGTTTTTCATTGATTTTTGACGCAAAAAATACAAAAAAAAATGTTAGTAACTGATTTGTTATTAGCTTCCCATTTGAAACAGCTCAAACCTATTTTCACGTCAAAAATCAATGAAATTTTTTCGACGGACACGGACAAAACGTAATTTTTTGTCCGTCCGTCCGTCCGTTCAGAGCCCTCCAAATTTAGTTGTCCGTCCGTCCGTCCGTTCAGGACCCTCAGAAATTTCATTGTCCGTCCGCCCGTCCGTTCAGAGCCGCTAGAAATTTTCTTGTCTGCCCGTCCGTCCGTTCAGCGTTGATCGGACGGACGGACGGACAAAAAAATTTCTAGCGGCTCTGAACGGACGGACAAAAAAAATTTCAAGAGCCCTGGACGGACGGACGGACGGACAAGGTGCTTGTCCGTTGACACCTTTATTTACAGGTTTACGCATTGCGATATGTCGCAGATATGTCGGCGTAATGATTTTGCGTAAACACATACATTGAAAAACCTATCCCAATGCGGAATGTCGCGGGAAGGATTTGCTTTACGGCGACATGTCAACGTAAACCTCAATGTATCGCAAAATTCTTGTAGGGATAGGCACTGGAAGGACTACATTCGGCACCGACTCAAAATGACAGAACGTGGCATTGTCGTGTATAGTTTATACGACAGACAAATACACGAGACTCAACTTTGACAAGTACGTTCGATCAAACAGTGTGACCGATAGCATAGCCGGAATGTTGACCAACAATCACGCATGCATTTCGGAGCTGCTCAAATGTCGCCCAGTTCACCCATCGGCATCAAAAAGTCACTGCGTTGCCCGGGCAATCGGAAGATGATACGGAGCTACAAAAAGTGTCCTGGTTGTGTGGTTAATGTGGTCGACGAGTATTTCACTTCTCAAACATGCGCCAAGTGCTTAGTGTTGGCTTCGAACGTTCGTTCGACCGTTCGACAATATAAAAAAAAATTGTTTTGTTCGTTCGTTCGTTCGAAAGTTTTGTAAAAAATTATTTAGTTCGTTCGTTCGTTCGAAAAGTTGAAAATTAATTTTTTTGCTCGTTCGTTCGTTCGAAAATTATGAAAAAAAAAAATTTTTGTTCGTTCGTTCGTTCGGAAATTGCTATGTTCGACCGTTGGTATTTTTACATTTGAAATACAGAGGAAGTAAATACAATTTTGATTTCTTTGGGTTTCAGTCTTACCCAAAGGTACAACGTAATTACCGGTATTATTTATTATTAGTAATACCACTGGTAATAATTATTATCGATCTTATTACCGATTAATAAGTAATTACTAAGATGATAGTTATTACCGATTATTACCGTTAAGAACTTAATTAAACTTTGCACTTAAGCTTAAGTATGTACTTAACGTATTTAACGTACTTAATTAAACTTTGTACTTTAGCTTAAGTATGTACTTACCGTACTTACCGCACTTAACGTACTTAATGCACTTAACGCACTTAACGTACTTAAAGTATATACTTAAGCTTAAGTACAAAGTTTAATTAAGTACTTAACGGTAATAATCGGTAATAACTATCATTTTAGTAATTACTTATTAATCGGTAATAAGATCGATAATAATTATTACCAGTGGTATTACTCAGTAATAACGCCGGTAATTACGTTGTACCTTTGGGTAAGACTGAAACCCAAAGAAATCAAAATTGTATTTGCTTCCTATGTATTTCAAATATAAAAATCCCAACGGTCGAACATAGCAATTTCCGAACGAACGAACGAACAAAATTTTTTTTTCATAAATTTCGAACGAACGAACGAGCAAAAAAAATAATTTTCAACTTTTCGAACGAACGAACGAACAAAATAATTTTTTACAAAACTTCGAACGAACGAACGAACAAAACAATTTTTTTAAATGCTTTCGAACGGTCGAACAAGTGTTCGAAAGTGTTCGACGGCCAACACTACAAGTGCTTTGACCCTTTTGATCAGCGTACGAAACGACATCGCTTCAAAGTCTGCCATGATTGTCGGCCGTAATTGGTTCGAGCAATGCTGCCATCAATGATCATGTACAAGGTCAACAAACGAAAGATGAGGGAAGAGAAGCTGAAACTGTTTTTGTGCGTGAAAGAAGCGG